CTGAGCTGTACTGTAGTAGAATGCTAAGTATCCGAATGTCAACTCTTTACTGTCCAAAGCATCGATTATCAGAAATGCCTGCTTGCACTAAATTGAGGGCCATATTAGTTTTTGATTGGATGTGTGGCCGCTCCTTTGTCCGACATACCCCTCATCTCAACCTCGTGGTGATGCTATTTATCCGACATACCCCTCATCTCAACCTCGTGGTGATGCTATTACAAGTATATGTAGAGTAAAACCTGCTTTGAGAGACCACCCCACGGTGCTAGCAAAAGCGGTCGTTAAAGCCAGGTGGTCTTTAGAACCAGGTCCCATACATTCGTGGTATATCGGATTATACATACATCATTACAGTCATGTGCATGATCAGTGTACTTCTATGTACATGTACTCAGGTGTGGAGCATGGAATACTCTTGTGCAGGAAAAGCACACCTCACTCAAGTACATGCAGCGCATCCTGCACTGTCACTTGTCACTTCTGTTGAGTGCATACACTTGCTTCAGAGCGCACTACAGTCCATTCATAAAAAGATGGGCCCTGGCTCTGGCGAGCTCCCGTATTTGGCGATTTTTCGTGATTTCATCGTACACAGTGCAGGGCTGTGAAATTTGAAACTTGAAAAAGGGTCCAAAAGAGTACCTGAACTGGGGTTCGAACCGCACAATGCACTGTTGCAGGCGGGGTCAAACGGCCTGGATTTTTATGGTTTTTCCCAATTCAATGCTTTTGGGGCAAAACCTGGCCGAACTTCTATTCTTCTTATGGCTTGCATTTTGGACAAAAAACGTCAGAAACATAATTGGAAGAGGATTCCATAGAGAATTGCAGAAAAAAAATCTAAAAAAACTCAAAGTTTGACCCATTTATGGCCAAAAGCTAGAAGTCCATCTTTTTCTGAATGGACTGTAAGGTCTTCTACCCTGTTGCAGTCAACTTTGCCAGCCAAGATGGCACTTTTGGTCAGTTTTGGTTGCTGTGAGCAGGTCCAATATGGCACTTGGTACACTAAAAGTCGGTCGCTGGTGGCACAAGGCAGGTGGTCGCTGTATCTGGTGCAGTTTCTGTGTAGAACTGTCCGTGCAAGGAAAACCGGTAATCAGAGGTCGCTTACACCAGGTTTTACTGTAGAGTGAATTTCGTGATATAGCGCACCAGGGGCAATGTACATGGGCATTGCATTACGGCCTTGCGGTTCTGTCAGTAGTTGGATAATGGAAAGAGTAGATATGCTGTGTTAGCTTCACTTGTCATGCTAGATGTATAGTCAGTAACTTACCGTTGTGCAAGAACACGGTCTACAATTTCCATCTTTCTGTATGGTCATTCTAATTCCAGGGATCACCAGTGGAGAAGTGCCACCGCTACTGGCCAAAGCCAAAGAACGAAGGGCCAGAGAGGTATGGGTCGATAGCTGTCAAGTTCCTATCTCAGGAGAGGTTGATGGAGGATGTCATTGTGCGTAACTTCCATATCTCATCAGACAAGGTAAGACATTGTCCAGTCACCGGTAAGAAACTACGGTACAGGTACTCGTACAAGTAAGGTACCAATGCTCGAGTATAGGATACTTGGGTCCAGAGTCTTTATAATTGTGCTACAAGTATAACTTGTTCCGCCTCTTAGTCTATACACACGCAATGGTCTCTTCGCTGCCAAACAACATCCTTCTCTGCAAAGCAATCACAATCAGTTCCCTTGTTCATCCTGACAATGCGGCGCGATGAGACCATTGAGAGAGACAGAGACAGAGACAGACAGAGACAGAGAGAGACAGACGGACAGACAGACAGACAGACAGAGTAAGTTACATCAAAGACAGGTAAGTCTAACAAATGAGGACTGAGACCTCTACAACAGAGGTTTTACCCCTGAAAGCAGGTGCATGATTTAACAAGCAGGTTGTCAGTCTAGATTTTATGCGCAGAGAGAGAGAGAGAGAGAGAGAGAGAGAGAGAGAGAGAGAGAGAGAGAGAGAGAGAGAGAGAGAGAGAGAGAGAGAGAGAGAGAGAGAGAGAGAGAGAGAGAGAGAGAGAGAGAGAGAGAGAGAGAGAGAGAGAGAGAGAGAGAGAGAGAGAGAGAGAGAGAGGAGAGAGAGAGAGAGAGAGAGGGAGAGAGAGAGGGAGAGAGAGAGAGGGAGAGGGGAGAGAGGGAGAGGAGAGGAGGAGAGAGAGAGAGAATGTGTGTGTGTTTGTGTGGGTGTGGGTGTCACGAACATCAGTCATGAGCATTTATGTGTGCCTTTTGGCACCCTTACTCTCCGTTGTATGCATGTGCCCATTTCTGGCTGCCCTGCAGCTCACGGTGTGCTCCCGTTTGTGCGCATGTATCCGTTTCTGGCTGCTACAGCTCGCAGTGTGCTTCCCTTGCTCCATTTTGTGTACACACGTCCGTTTCTGGCTGTACCCACATATCTAATTCTGGCTCCGTGCTGACCCTTGAGGAATCGCGTGAGCCTAGTATGAATCTAGTGATCCGAATGTGACTCCGTTCCCATCGAGAACTTGCAGACTTTATATTTTGTTACTCTACAAGCAGCTTTTCGCTTATCTTCTTTTTATCTCTTCTTAGAGTGGAGACCAGCTTTGCCTGCTCTTATCAGTAGCTCAGAGCTACACCACTAGTAATAATAAAGACGAAAACCTCTTGTTGAGTGCGATGACAACGACGACAGTGTGTGTGTGTGTGTGTGTGTGTGTGTGTGTGTGTGTGTGTGTGTGTGTGTGTGTGTGTGTGTGTGTGTCCTAACCCTTTAATTGCCGAATTCATTCTGGAAAATCACCTGTCCTCAACTCCTAACAAGTTGTCATGTCACATGGTGATGTCTGTGACTTTCATACTTTGTATAGCTCTAACTATCTTCAGTCTTGGGGAAGTGCATGCTGTCATACTCTACCTACTCATGCATGAGGACAGGAGTGTACGCTGTCCTTTTTCCTATTGGTCCTTGTCTTGTCCTAGGTTGAAGACTTCGACAGTCGTAAGGTGGTGCAGTATCAGGTGACTTCATGGAGAGAGGGAACAGTACCCGACAGGCCAGGCCTTGTGGTCGAACTCTATGCTCAAATGCAGCGCTACCAGCAGCAGAACTCATGTGGCGATACTCCGATTGTAGTACACTGCAGGTATGTGTCTGGCTACGCCAGTATGGAACTTTCACTCAGAGCTACAGGCATGTGTATTCAGGCGCGTGCTTGGCGATGGGCACGGGGGGCACGTGCACCCCCCTAAAATTTCCAATCTGGGTAATTGCAATTGTAATGTATGCAAATATGCTCTAAAATTCAAGAAAGGTTGCAAACAAATTGCAGAAAATTGCCGGGGGGCTCCCCTCGGCTCCCGTGCACCCCCCTAGTTGGGGGGCCGAGCACGCCCCTGTGTATTGGAGTTACCACTTGTACTTAAGCACATAGGATACTCACAAGCCCTATTAATAAAGAGCAAGATAGCAAAAACATCAAAGACAGCTCAAGTATAGGCGAAGGACAACTGCAGTAGTGACTAAATCCAATTCTCAAAACTTGCTCCGATCGCTTCGATTTTGGTCTCATTCGATTCTCCCGGGCCGAACATAGGCAATCTGCAAGTATTATTCAAATCGGCCTAGCCATTCTTGTTATGGTGACTTGAAGTGCGCCAAGTTGGACTTCCCTGGAAACAGCAATGAATGGGAGTGATGGGAGAATCGAGAAAATTTCAAGACGACTGGACAGTCAGTGCATGTAGTGCAGTGTTCAGTGCACACGCCTCGTCACTTGACCTGCACGTACGGTATTGCATACTTTGGTATGCTGGTGCAGAACAAATTCGCTCGTAGAGGAAGTTATATTTCTCGCCGGCCGAGCGGAGCGAGTGAAGCGAGAAATGATTTCTCGCGCAACAAAATTATTTTTCTTGCGAATATGGAATCTGATGTTTTCTCTTTTTGTTGCTGTTCTTTTTGCCTGACTCCTTCAGTCAGTTTTTTGTGTCTCACCAGTATCCCCACCCTCCCACCCTTCATGTCTGCTCATCTTCTTCCATTTCTTTCTTGGCTGTGGATATGTTGTGCCTGTTTTTATGCTGCCATGTTGCCACTTGGGGTTATACACCCGTTTTTTCCCTCATTCGTGCGTCCATCGGCGCGAGGGTTTATTCCGGCTGGCTCGGTCCAGAGAAATTAATCTGACGGTCCCAAGTGGTGCTTGTCCTGGCTTATTTATGTTAGGTGAATGTACTCATTCTTTCCTCCTGGGGTCTGTCCCCCTGTTGTTGCTCCTAGTTTTCTTCTGCATTCCGGTTCACATCTGGCTGCGGCCTACTACCCTCACTCTGTGTGCTCCTGACTCTGTTGTCTGGGTCCATGGCGTTATGTCGGTGTATGTGGAGCGAGAAGACGAAACTTCTCACCGCCTTTTAATTTCACTTGGCCCTTAGTTTTTCGACGCTGAAGACGATGGAATAGTCTGCGACGCTGCGACCCGACCAGAACAACCCAAAATTCATACTCTGAAAAAGCGTTGAGCGCAGAGCTCCTACATTTTGTCGTATGGAAACGGGACTTTGGGTCTCAAGGGCACGGACATCTCCTCTCTCAGATAAAGCAATACACTCGATGCGATATTCTACAATTTGACCCGGCCACGCCGAAAAGCACTGCGATGTCGGATTCTCCCATCGGAAGTAAAGAAACTTGATTCCAAAATATCAGCGTCTGGGTGCGAGGGAGTAATTCCCTACCTGCAGACGTTAAACGAGTCTGAATGGGGGAGTGGGGGGACTCTGCTATGACAGCAGCTGTGATGGAGGATTTGCTTGACTTGGCTGACCAGAGGTCTTAGCATAAATATCAGGCTACTGTATTGAAAGATATCTCTACAGTACGTTTCAAAAATATAGACGCATGATTTCAAAAAACCGTTAGGCCAGCATCTATACCACATAAAATCTGTGATCACTTTGTGCATAAACATTTCGAACTTGGGCGTTTGCTATCCGATCGCTTAAAAATCTATAATTATGAGAGTAATTGCAGGAAGGATCTGAGCAACATTCCAAAAAATTCTCAAAAAGCTCCAGCCAAATTTAAAATATTTCAAAAATACCCAATGATGCGTCTATATTTTCGTAATTGACTGTAGCTACTTGAAGTGCATGGGCCGATGATATGTCCTGAAGTGTGTCTCTATCTATTACTTGAAGTATACACTATGTGTGTGTGTCACTGAATATACACTCTGTGTGTGTGTATAATCAGTAGCACATAGTAATTATAATGTTGGACACAGTAGACAGTCGGGCCACTATAGGCAGTCAAGAGTCCAGCATGCAGTCTAAATTCTGTGAACAGCCGGATGGTGTGCCCCTAGGCTTCTATAGGTAGTCGGATCCCCAGTATGAAATCGAATTCCTACAAACACCACGACTAGGTAAAGCAGGGCACTTCCTGTCCTACATGCAATGCATGCAGTCAAATGACGTGTTTGACTGTTTGGGGTGTGAATGCGGATAAAAGTACACAGTTTTTGCGTTTGTTCCAGAGAGGACAGAGAACAAGGCACGTACAATGTGGGCAGTTTGGGTTTTCTCCTTCGTGCTGCTAATGTCCTGTCGTTGGAGTCCGAAGGCCAAGCCATAACCGTTGCCTCGCTCTTCTGTGTAGCGTCAGGAAGTCAACAAACAAACATATAGGGCTCACGTCACAAAGTCAAGAACAGGGATTCAAACAAAGTAGGAACAGGGATTCAAACAAAGTAGGAACAGGGATTCAAACAAAGTAGGAACAGGGATTCAAACAAAGTAGGAACAGGGATTCAAACAAAGTAGGAACAGGGATTCAAACAAAGTAGGAACAGGGATTCAAACAAAGTAGGAACAGGGATTCAAACAAAGTAGGAACAGGGATTCAAACAAAGTAGGAACACGGATTCAAACAAAGTAGGAACAGGGATTCAAACAAAGTAAGAACAGGGATTCAAACCAAGTAGGAACACGGATTCAAACAAAGTAGGAACAGGGATTCAAACAAAGTAGGAACAGGGATTCAAACAAAGTAAGAACAGGGATTCAAGCAAAGTAGGAACAGGGATTCAAACAAAGTAGGAACAGGGATTCAAACAAAGTAAGAACAGGGATTCAAACAAAGTAGGAACAGGGATTCAAACAAAGTAGGAACAGGGATTCAAACAAAGTAGGAACAGGGATTCAAACAAAGTAGGAACAGGGATTCAAACAAAGTAAGAACAGGGATTCAAACAAAGTAGGAACAGGGATTCAAACAAAGTAAGAACAGGGATTCAAACAAAGTAGGAACACGGATTCAAACAAAGTAGGAACAGGGATTCAAACAAAGTAGGAACAGGGATTCAAACAAAGTAAGAACAGGGCCCCGGATTCAAGCAAAGTAGGAACAGGGATTCAAACAAAGTAGGAACAGGGATTCAAACAAAGTAAGAACAGGGATTCAAACAAAGTAGGAACAGGGATTCAAACAAAGTAGGAACAGGGATTCAAACAAAGTAGGAACAGGGATTCAAACAAAGTAGGAACACGGATTCAAAGCAATACATTCCAAAGCTTACTGGTATTCAAGTAACAGTACTTTTGTTTGCTGTAGTCTTTGATGGTCATTGATAGGCTCTCGCTTCCCGTGATCAGGAGAGCTGCCAGGTCTAGAACAGACTTTAATGCCTTGAAGGAAGTTGAAATCGTAACTGATGGGATACACCGGTGCTACAGAAAAGTTGCTTGTATCTGTACCAAAAGTCTAACTTCATTCTCCTAAGGTCTATCGCCCCCGCAAAATTTACTTTCCTTGCCAAGAGCTAGCCGGCCTGCAAACTTCGTCAGGTTCTACCAAATTGTCCGCTGGCTTGGTGGTGGTAGTATCATTGTCCATTGGCTTCAGCTCAGCGAAGGAGGGACTCCAGCACAGCAAACCGCTCTGCTTGTAGCTAGTTGAGTGCTGGCACACAGCAAACCGCTCTGCTTGTAGCTAGTTGAGTGCTGACGCACAGTTCTAACTGTTGCGCACAGTCCATGATTTGTGGATGAAGCAGGTGGATGATCTTTTCAAAAGTCCCAAATGACAAAATTCGGACTGCGCAGGAAATGTTCCGACTTTCTCCAGGGAAAGTCGCAGGAGTGATATGACTAGATCATGAGTTCAACTCCCTACTGGACTTCCGACTGTTTATAGGACAACGACTGCCCTACATATACACGCTGTGTGTATGTGTCACTGAATTTGGTGTAATCCGCTCCACTGCATTGTGCTTTATGGCCAATCCACTCCACTTGAATGTTATCACAACCACGTGTAGGCAATTTCAATCAGTCCATCTAGGCATTGAATCCATTGATACTGAAGAATGAAGACCTCTACAGTCCATTCATAAAAAAATGGGTCCTGGCTCTGGCGAGCTCCCGTATTTGGCGATTTTTCGTGATTTCATCGTACACAGTGCAGTGCTGCGAACTTTGAAATTTGAAAAAGGGTCCAAAAAGGGTGCCTGAACTGGGGTTCGAACCGCAGAATGCACTGTTGCAGGCGGGGTCAAACGGCCTGGATTTTGATGGTTTTTCCCAATACAGTGCTTTTGGGGCAAAACCTGGCCGAAATCCTATTCTTGCTATGGCTTGCTTTTTGGACAAAAAAACTTCAGAAACATAATTGGAAGAGGATTCCAGATGGGATTGCAGAAAAAAATTCTAAAAAAACTCAACGTTTGACCCATTTATGGCCAAAAGCTAGAAGTTCATTTTTTTCTGAATGGACTGTAGACAGCTGTTTCCTTGGCTTAGAGCCCACTAGTACAGGTATATGTTGTCGGCGTTTGGGACATTTCCTGGAAGTAACTGCTAATAAAGTGCATCACGGGACCTGTGAGCCTAATAAAGTGCATCATGGAACCTGTGAGCCTAATAAAGTGCATCATGGAACCTGTGAGCCTAATAAAGTGCATCATGGAACCTGTGAGCCTAATAAAGTGCATCATGGAACCTGTGAGCCTAATAAAGTGCATCATGGGACCTGTGAGCCTAATAAAGTGCATCATGGAACCTGTGAGCCTGCCAGTAATTGCGCAACTTCCCTGTACATCATGTGCACAATATGAGTGTGGGTTCATCTTCTATGCACTCTTGGTACTTGTGTTACTAGCTCTGGTACAGGTCGCACTGGCACATTCTGTGCTATCTGTACGTCCATTGACCGGATCAAGACCGAATCTGCAGTGGACATCTTCCAGATCGTCAAGGCGATGAGGCAACAACGCTACAATGTTGTACGCAACGAGGTGGGTACTGGTGCAAAAGAAGGATCCACGAGCGGGATTCGAACCCAGCACCCCTGTCTTTCCGGGACAGTGCCCTATCGATTAGGCTACCGGGGATCACACACACTCATGGGTCCTTCTTGCTACAATCTCAGTCGGTAGAGCATGAGACTCTTAATCTCAGGGTCGTGGGTTCGAGCCCCACGTTGGGCGCCAATGTTGCAAAAGAAGGATCCATGAGCGGGATTCGAACCCAGCACCCCGGTCTTTCCGGGACAGTGCCCTACCGATTAGGCTACCGGGGATCACACACACTCATGGGTCCTTCTTGCTACAGTACCACACGCTTGCTATGCTGGCATTAATACAATGAATACCACACGCATGCTTGTGCTGGCATTAATACGATGGGTACCACACGCATGCTTGTGCTGGCATCAATACGACGGGTACCACACACCTGCTTGTGCTGGCATTTTTAGAATGCCGCCGCGTTCACCGCTGACACTGGATTTTCACAACCTGTTCTGAAGTGCCCCAGGACAGAACCTAATCTATTCTACGCCATCCATTGTCCGTATCATTTCCCTTTCCCTTCTTCTTAGTGTGTATCTTCTGTCCAACGCCGCAATTTTGCATATGTGCTACGGGGTATTAGAGCAAGATGCGCCATCACTAGTATCAAAGAACCATATGCCTAGTACAGATCTCTTTGGCATGTCTTCTTCTCATTCCCTTCACAGGAGGAGTACCGTTTCTGCTTCAGTACCGTGGCAGCATACTTGGATTCCTTTGACCTGTATGGGAATTTCCGCTAGTCAAGGACGCTACGGGTGACCACATATGCAACGCTCTGAATGCTTTACACTTTTCAAAAATGCCCATTGCATGCTGCCAGGCCTTCTTTCACAGTGGTTCATTTTCTCCTTCTTGAATGTCAACTGAGGCATTCAATGCATTTCAAGCCGGTGCCATTCCTGATTTTGCTTTTTATCTTTTCAACGTATTCTGAGAGCATGACCCATTGTCCAACACTTCATACATTCTTGTTTCTGTGTACTGGGAACATTTGCTTGCCGTATTCAGTTTTGCCTGCCGAGGCTGCCTTCAGACTGGAAGGGGGAGTGTACCTTTATAGCAGCGTACATTCATTTTTTTTCCACTGGTACAATAACTACAGGGCAAAACTGCATCCTTATGTGCATTGTTAGGAGCAGCTGTTTTCCACTCCCGCCCAAGCACAATTCATCACCTGGGTGCATGAGTAGTCTTTTTGAGCAGCTATACGTGTCCGTGCTCCTTACAAATTGCAAACAGCCTCTTCTTCTTTTTCTTGCCTCGCTGATCAGCCGCACATTATTCGCTTTAAAATTCTCTACAGATTTCCCTGAAACTAGTACACCGCTACTCACCGACATTGAGCCTTGTCTTGGACTCATGAATGGGCATCATGCGTATTGATAGTGAAATTTCAAATTTTCATCTTTGTCGTACATACGGCATATGACTTGAATGCCAAACCAGTATGACAAAGAGGAAAGGCAGAGAGATAGTGAACAAAAGCAGAAAGAAAATGACACATGGATACTGCAAAACGAAAGTAGAACATACAAAGTAGAGATAATGACAGAGGAATGTGGACCGTCTGTGAAACAAAGAGAAACACAAACACACAAAACAAAGACAAGAACACACAGACACACACACGTGCGCGCACACACCATTCGACGCCCATCGTTGGAGGCGATGATAGCGATGCTACAGCAGAAGCCATACCAACTTGTGTTGGGATTGCACTATTATTGACCGCCACTATTCAGCCTGGTCTACACCACACAGCTATGAAGTGGCTTTTCTGGCCAGTGAATCCCTACTTTTTGGTCTTTTTCATTTTTTCTACCGCACACACATCACACCACATACTCCGGTATGCACTGGTTGTTGGTAACCACCCAGGAGAATTAAAGAAAAGTCAGGAGTCTGAGAAAGAGAAGAAAGACTTGTGCGACCATAATCGTCGGGAATCGAACCCGCAGCCTCTTGATTGGAAATCGCTGCACATACCACCGCACCACATGGGGGACGTACACACATACACACACCATGTACCATGTATACGCCCGTTGCAAGAGAAGCACGCAAATCTGCAAATGCACTGGATGTGCACCCACAGATTTTCTCTTATAGCAACGATAGCGAACAAGATCTGAATGAGACAGATCAGGACTTGCGCCAGATAACTGTCTAATCCACACAACTGGCGAAGCCATGTGAATCGACCACCAATGCACACCTGGTCTACACCACACGGAGTACATTGGCATAAAACGGCCAAGACAGTTACCTATGCACAACCTACACTTGCTGGGGTAACCAGTATAGACAGCATGCTGCTTTGATAGAAGCAGACACTAGATGCACTGGTACCTTGAAGTGAAATTGGAGTTACTTTACCAACCACACACACACACACACACACACGCACGCACACACACACACACACACACGCGCACACACACACACACACACACGCACGCACACACACACACACACACACACACACACACACACACACACGCACACACACACACACACACACACACACACACACACACACACACACAAATAATAATTGAAGAACTATTTGCAGCTACAAACTTGCTTGGGGAGAATCAGGCAGGTGAGAAGCAGGTGAGAAGCAGGTCTGTGCTCCAAACTTAGACCAGAAAAAGTGAGCGAGCTAAAAGCATTCTAATTTCTAATGTAATAGGAATGAACCGGCATAATATCATAGATATTTACCATCAGCCTTGTGTAAAATATACGTCTCTTTCTTTCTTTTTTTCAAAGCTCGATATGTCAAGCGTAGAGCGGAGTATGCTAGTGTATCAGATGAAGTGTAAGTCAAGGGTATGCCAGGTAAGTCAAGGGCATGCCAGTCCATCTAATGAAGTGTCCATCATGGCCAGGTTTCTACAAGGAGGATTGGATTCATGTTGCACCTTTCTAAACTACAAAGCCTTCTAGAAGTACCCACACTGTTACGGAAAAGCTGCTGTGTTTGTATAGGCCAATGAAATCCTTCTGGGTGCCACACACTCGATAGGTGGTATGAATGAATAGTATGCAGCAGCATGATAGTGGTGGTGCTGCTACTTATGTCTTTGGCTACACACTGGACTCCACAAGACAGGGCACCTGGTTGCCATCGTTCATATTTCTGCCAGCCGCAGGCCTGGGGCCGCCGCGCGCCGCCGGCACCTCTCCTTCGTTACGAAGACAGGAGAAATTTCGTACAAGATCGATAATTTCTCTCCGAAACAGATACAGTCTAGGAACGAAGACACATGCCCATATTGCGAGCGCCTCCGCGTTCAGGCTTACAGCGGCCATAATAGGCCAAAGAACACGCTTGGTGACGAAGAACGTGGGTGTCAGCCCCACAAACAGTGCCAGCACACTGAAACCAGCAAGCATCAGCAGTTTGCCTTCCGTATTCATCTTCCCTTTAACTTGATTCTTGTCTGCAGCAAGTTTGCTCAACCTCTCCATCTCCTGCTTGGTGATTAGCTTCCTCGACAGGCAGACGCTCAGGAACATGATGAGTATGGAGATGAACAGACACGCCGTTGACACCGCGTTGAAGCGTTCACTCTCTGTGCATACCAGATGGAACTCAGTCTCAGTGTAGTTGAATACCTCCCTTGAATGTGGGTCAATGGCCTGGAATGCTCCATGCATGCCCACTCCCAGGATCATTATCAAGATGAAACAGAAGAGCAGTTGCCTCTTCCATGATGGACTAAATAAATTGGCAAACGGGTCTTGAAAGCTTTGTAAACGTTGGGTCCAGGTCACCTTCTCTTCAACTGGTGCTGCATCGCCGTCATCCGTGAGGGCATCATCACTAGCACTCCCTAACCTTGCACCCGGCAGCTCTGAATTCCTTCTCCGATGTTCTTCGTCCTGGCGCTGCCGCTGACTAGCACGAAAGGCCTTGCTCATGTACCGCACCCGAAGGCTTCTTGCAGTGAGAACAGTATTCATTGCGATAATAGTAGTTGCTGTCAGTATAGACATGGTTACACAGTATGCCTTAGATGGTTCGGTCTGCAGACATATGGACGTCACGAAGGCAACTAGAAATGAGACAAGCAGGGCATAGTTCAAAGCACTTCCGGTCTCTCGCACAAGCGGTTCGTGACGAAACCAATACAGGAATAGTCCAGTAAAGACCACTGCTAAAATGCCAACACATGAGAGTACCGTGATGACGATGCCAACCGGGTGATTGAAGTCGTAGTGCAAGACAACAACTGCTTCGCAATCAGAATGGTCAATGTTGTTTTTGTAGCCATACGTGCAATTCAAGCAGACCAATGATGTTGTGGTATTGGTGAATGTGTTGCCATAGCAATTCGAACATTGCCAGCAGCAAGCCGCGCTGGCTGGCCGTACCAAGTCCTTGACAGGCTGAAAATTCTGACCAGCTCTGCAGGGCTTAGAGCAATAGGACTCCGGTGGAGTTGCTGCACCTCCTATCCACTCAATGCAGCTGATGTTGGTCGCATTATCAGGCGAACAAGAGAACTGGATACCGTCTCGCTGTGACCAGCTACCCACAATGTAACGGGTTGCCTTTTTATCTTCAGCAACGCGAATACTCTGGATGGTATACATGGCCTCGATGTCTTGTGATACATTGAAAACAGGACAAAAGGTCTTTTGTCCGTCCCGACACGGAATGTCCAGGTCACGCAGGTAATGATACAGTGCACTGGAGCTCTCGTGCCTCCAGCACCGGCTCCTACTGGACATTTTGCTGATTGCACCCACAGCAGCCCTGGAAGCCAGCCACAGTGCTCCAGACGTAAGCGGCGGTGCCATGTTGTTCCCCTTCAGATTGAAGAAATCTGCGGCACTCAAAGTCAGGTTACAGCATGGCTCTTCTGAGCATTCACCCTCGTCAAACTCTACTTTGCATTTCCCTTTAGACTGCCAGAGTAGTCCTAGCCATGGGTTGCGACGAATAGATTCACGTGTCAATCTCAGACTCTCCAAGTGCTGCTGGAATCCATCGGCGAAGCTCTCCTGATACGAATGGAATTGCGTAGGAACCTTGAAGCTAAATCCAAGTACAGTATGCTGGCCAATGTAGGTAGTACGTCCGTACACGATATCAGGCGCCTGCGCAATCCATGCGTCACTCGCTATCCACACCATCGGCCGATGTTCCAGAGCATCAATGACGGCCGTGTCATTGGCCAATACCAACTCCTCCAAGGCGTCAAACACTGCACCAGCGTATAGAAAGCCAGCAAACAGCATCACAACACTGGGATCTTTATAGACATTGGTGCGACCGTCATTGCGACCCACAACAATTCGCCGGACTATGGCACGCACTGTGTCCTTATCCTTGTAGTGGAATCGGGTCTCGTACGCTATGCAGTAGTTCTCACCGAGGGAATTCACTGCTTCGCGGAAGTACTGCAAGCCACGGCCACCTGTGATGACGTCATCACTAGCAAGTGCATACACATATGTCCACCTGAAGGCAGCCAACAAATCAGCCATAGCCTTTGCCTGGAAGCGATCACTTGGCACGGTACGAAACAAGTACGGGAACTGCTGTTTCTCCTCGAACTTCGGCGACGATGCCCAGTATGCAATGTGCGGCATTTTGAACACACTCAGAGCCGGCGCCACCACTTCAATACTCTTGCTTAGAGCCGGTCCCAGAACAAGTCCAATTTCTAGGTCCTGCGATGCGCGGCCACTGTCGATCGTGGGTGCTGCAGAAATGGGACAGGAATTTGAAAAATCCAGTTCCTCGCTGGGCTTAGAAGAATTTAGCGCAAACTTGTAGATTGCGGGAAACCCTCCCGTTTCACTAGCATCGCATAGCTGCTTTGCTCGCTGTGATCTCTTCGCCATTTGGAATGCCTCCGATACTGCAGTGTATGGACTGAGGCAGGAGTCTCGTATCTCCACACCTTGAAGCGCCTGTGTAAGCACTGGGTTGACCACACGCAGCTCATCACGGATAACTTCTATAGCATAGAGAAAAGCCTCGGCTAGCTGCATTGCAAGTCTGACACGGTTGATATTACTGGGTGTTTCGCAGTGGAAAGTGTCGTCGTTCAGTGCATTCATAGGCAAAAGGCCTCCAACAAGCAGTCCACCGCCACCACTTGCAGTATCAGTATCGTTCCACAGCACGCGATGGCAGTGTACATTCTTGCCCGCCTTCAGCAACTCCTTGAGAGAGCTCCAGTCCCCTGTGTTGGACGTGCACACAGATTCATTATACTGGCTTGGCGAATCAGGTTGAACGGTTGTAGTAGTATTAGAGGTATCACTGACACCGGGACGAGCCGTCAGGAGAACAAAGAAGGACACGCACGAGCAGTACAGCCAATGCAGCTGCAACTGGCCACTCATCCTGCGCACCTGTCCGTTGCCGCGCTAGTATAGTGCGTTCTCCACCGTTTGAATGACACCTCCGAAATAAGTAAGTATTAGTTAGTTGGCGTTCTTGAGAGCACTCCGACAGGACGGCAGTGTAGCGGCAATGCAGCACTATACGACAATGTTGCAACCCTGACGATGAGCGGACCAGCTACACACATGACAGTGGAATGGTACGTGTTGATCTACTTGACTAACTCACAGCAGAAAACGAAACAACTACAGTACAGAACCAGCAATTTCCTCATTTTCTGGAAAACCTTTCACTAGTATCTGCAGACCAGGCCGGATGCCGTGATCATCACGGACGGGTGATAAGTACTTCTGTCAGCTAGCTGTGTTGTAGTGTTTCGGCCTTGAGTGGTGCTAGCGCAGGTATCAAGATCAAGCCTGTCAATCTCACTTTTTCTCAGTAGACCGCGAGCTAAACGTTCCTTCACTGAGTGAGTAGGACTGGTTGTAAAGACTACGCGCTGTGTGAATGAGACAAGTGTCAAATCTAATCACGAGAACCGCGACTACAGTCAGTACACCAGGTAGTCTACACCGATCTGCTTGTCCTGAACAGCGCGCGGCAGACGGCAGCTAGCTCGCACGAGCAGTCGCAAAGGTGCGTGCAGCTAGTCTCGGTGACTGTATAGCCCCTACATGGAGTGTAGTACTAGTAGTTTTTAGGCTTTGCAAGTAACTTAGTTTTGCTAGTTTTAGCCTAGTTTAGCCAAGCTGCAAGGGCGAGGACAATCATGCACTTGCACAATGCCGCACAGGTACTACTACTACTACTACTACTACTACTACTAGGTGTACAGTGTAGTCTGGCACCCCAAAAATGCAAACCGCCAAACGATGTAATGATTATGTCGGTGCTCGACGTGTACGTGTACGTGTACAGGTAGCTTTCTGTCACATTTTTTTAGAGGTTCTGTAGAAGAACTGTGCGCGAGCAGCAATGTTACATGACAGTCGATTGTAGGCTTTTGTAGCAAGAGTACAAGTTTATGTACTCTTGATTGTAGTCATTCACTCATTACATTCCAACCGGGCGTGAACTGGTGAACAGAACGAGCTGCGCAAGCTGATGATGCCAGGTACATATAGACCACCTGGCCTTGGCAGGTGATCCACAGAATGATATTTCCCCTCGTTTGAGGGGATCATGGAGCCGTAATCCCCTCGTTTCTAATAATCCGAAGGAAATCCTCTTCATACCCTCGGACCCAGTCCTCCTACCAGCATAGCCAAGACGGCAAGAGGGCTAGCTCGCTTGGCTGCTGTTTGATATGCAAGAATGCCGAATGGGCCTTCCAGACAAGGTCTAACATGGAGAAGCAGCAATAGTTGTCAAAAGAAAAGCATAATTGGTGAAACAAAACAAGGGAAGCGGCAAGCTTTCTGTAAGCAAACAAGAGCATTTTAATCTGCAACATACTGCTATGCGCAATCCCTGCACTTTACCTAAAGCCCGAACCTCAGCATATACCAGATCTCCGTTTTTCGCTGCCTATTCTCTCTGGCTGGCCCTGCCTCTATCAGTAAAATCGTCTTGTACGCTAAAGGATTTCAAGGCCAACATGAAGCTCGTGTTCTAATAACTGCTAATTCTTCATCCAGATTTGTTTCTCTTTGCCTCCAGTAATGTGTAATATTTATTTATTTTTGCTTTGTTTTTGTTTACTGCCATGGCTGGCTACCGCCCCCCTCCCTCCATATTGGCCTATATTCTCTGGCCACGGGAAGGTGAAATAAATAAAAATAAAATAAAATATTGTATTCAAAAAACGAGTGGATACGAAGGCAGTGAAGAACATGGAAGAAAGAAAAAATGTGATATGGAGAAAATGATGAACAAAAAATCGTACTTCGAACTAGTTTTCGCACAACACTCCTCAGGAAGCTACGTTGTACTAATGAAAAACAATCCAGAAAGATACTAATAAAGAGAAATGGAGTGAGAAGAAACAACACCTATGAAAATGATAATCCTAGCACTAAGGTAATAACAGGAAAAACTGCGAAAGCACTTAACGAACTAATTACTTGTAAAGACTACTAGTATACGGTGACACAAGATATGACACCATGGCCAACCAGGGCCAAACAAACAGAACAAGCTGCTACTAGAACAATTTCAAACGAATAATGCTGTCCTTCTGGACACACAGATTAGGCTTATGAATACGTTGACAAACAGCTTCTAACACACTCAACTGCAACTTATAACCATGACGAGCACGGCACAAAACAGAAAAAGAAGAATCAGAATACACCTTGCAGCAATCAGGTGTGTTGCATGCAGACACGTTTGCGTCATCATCGCTTGCTGCATCACCGGCAGAGACGACAACAATACCTACCTCAATATCAACGAGACCCAGAAGAACAACTGCGAATTACACCATGACCTATTTCAGTCCGGAAGTACAGAGCCAACGGAATGCACAACAGGAGCGTGAGACAAGAGATGGGAGGAGACGGGACCTGATTGCTCCAAGGCAGGACGTCGTTGAGGAGGATTCGACCAGTGAGTCCAGTGAGTCCGGTGAGTGTGAGAGCGAGAATGATTGTGTGAGTAAGAGTGGGTGCGAGCGTGTGTTTTCTAGTAGGAAGTCATCAGTGTATAAGCATCTTGTATCTCGTCCTGATTGCTGCAAGGTGTATTCTGATTCTTCTTTTTCTGTTTTGTGCCGTGCTCGTCATGGTTATAAGTTGCAGTTGAGTGTGTTAGAAGCTGTTTGTCAACGTATTCATAAGCCTAATCTGTGTGTCCAGAAGGACAGCATTATTCGTTTGAAATTGTTCTAGTAGCAGCTTGTTCTGTCTGTTTGGCCCTGGTTGGCCATGGTGTCATATCTTGTGTCACAGTATACTAGTAGTCTTTACAAGTTCGTTAAGTGCTTTCGCAGTTTTTCCTGTTATTACCTTAGTGCTAGGATTATCATTTTCATAGGTGTTGTTTCTTCTCACTCCATTTCTCTTTATTAGTATCTTTCTGGATTGTTTTTCATTAGTACAACGTAGCTTCCTGAGGAGTGCTGTGCGAAAACTAGTTCGAAGTACGATATTTTGTTCATCATTTTCTCCATATCACATTTTTTCTTTCTTCCATGTTCTTCACTGCCTTCGTATCCACTCGTTTTTTGAATACAATAAAAGCCTTTGTGAAATGTCGGTTCAGCTCGTTCTGTTGATCGCAATTCTAAAACTATTGTCGCCTCGACGCCTATTTAAAATAAAATATGGTATTAGATAAAAAATAATCTACGTGGAGATAAAAGTTTAATAATAGCTATGAAAAGTATAAATGCCGCAGACATCACCACGCAACATGACAATTTGTTCAAGGTTTTAGATTGTGTGTTTCCAGAATCGATTTTCAAGCTCCGATAAAATCTAAATAACGCCCCGCGGAAACGCCATGTTTGTCGTTGCATTTCATTGAATATTTCTTTTATCGGAGCTTGAAAATCGATTCTGGAAACACACAATCTAAAACCTTGAACAAATTGTCATGTTGCGTGGTGATGTCTGCGGCATTCATACTTTTCATAGCTAGTATTAGATGAACCTTGTTTTAGTTCACACAATGTCATGTTGTTGGTTGACAGCATGTAACCAGGTGGAGGACACCGTGTTCGGAAACACTGACCCTTCTACGAACAGCCAACGGTTGGCAGAGCCCCAGTCAGTTGATTTTAGGGGAGTTTTTTTATAGATTCCTCCTAACGTCAGTTAGAATAAAGAGGGCCTAGGGTCAGAACCGGGTCTGAGAGTAGGCATAGAGTCTACGGTTCAGATACATGTACATGTACATGACTATTGTAGTCTCAACAGACCGTGGCTCTACCAACCATGGATGGTTGTAGAAACTCGAAAGGTCACTGTTTCCGAACACGGTGTCCTCCACCTTGTTACATATTTTCATCATATTGTGAGAGCCGTGGGCCAATAGCCCCGGTGAGAAGGCAGTCTTGCCTGTTCATATGGTGAAGTAAAATAAAGAAACAACAACAACATACTGTCAACCAACAGCATGTGTGAACATACAATATACTTGGACTACAGTGCTGGCAACTGAAATCCGACCCCCAGGGCGGCGCGCGGCGCCGCCCTGGGGGTAGGATTTCAGTTGCCAGCACTGTACATGTCTACATGAACCGGGCCGCGGGTGTGCCGAATACCGGTAACCGTGGAGACAAACCACACTACAACACCGGTAACCGCGGAGACAAAAATAAATAAATAAATAAATTATCGTTCTAACTCAAGTGCAGTTTAGCGTGTATTGGCTTGTGATTTCCTTTCTTCTGTTTGCTTGGCATTTTATCGCTCCACAGGTACCCTCAGTCTCAGGTGCTCTCACATTTGTGCAATTGTTGATTTTGGTCCTGAATTGTCCTCCCTGTTGCTTTGCTACCGTCCTCCTCCTTCCTCCACCTTTTTTTTCTTAATTGGCCTCATTATGGCATTCGCTTCCATGTAATTGGGCTTGTAGCCCGTGTGTACTTGCGAATTCAAATAAAAATATACATACATACATACATACATACATACACATCGTGTCCGTTCCCGAAGGGAACTCATGACGGCCGCTAACATCCGATAAACCCTAGCCGCGGAGACAAAGCACACTATAAAGATACTGTTATAAATAGGCCGAACCAGGAAACATAATCCAATACTCAATAGCCTATGAAGACTGAAGAGCAAAAGAAATTGAAGCAATGACAACAAATACTCGTCCAGCACACGAGTTGTCATAGAAACATTGAACGAAAATATTTAATTAATGACAAAGACAAAGACCGCGGCATACATGTACATGTGGGAAGTAGCCATGTATGATGTCGGGGCGTGAGCCCGTTAATCACATGGCAAAAACAACAAAAATGCAACCCCATTCTATGGTGCTATGATGTGTATGTCTCGGGGGAGGGGCGATAACCACCTTTCCGCTTCCGTGGGACGCCACCACCCCATGATCAGGCGTCAGATGCGCCTCCTAAACGGTGGGGGAGGATAGATCAGACCAACCAGAGGCCAAAGGTCTGGATCCCATTTGCCACACACAATGTACATGTACATGTACATGTACATAATTATTATGCAGTGCGAACGGAACACTGAAGTAAGTAAGTATTATTTTAGTTCTGACATAGTCATTCGCTCGTCGCCTCTCCGGGTTTACATGTAGATCTACTTGTTGGTTTGACTGAGGCGAGTGCGGAATGTCACACACTTTCTTTGGTTTGTCTCCCAAGACGAAGCCTCATG